CCTCCCCCCCCCCCGCAGTGCACCGCACCACAGTAGGTAGTTTAATCTTGGGGCGTCCCTTGAGCCTTCCTTCCCCAAGTAATCCGCTGTCTCAACTGTAACATCTTCAGGCCTGGCTTTTAAGGCCCAGCGGACCTTAGCAGTAGGATGGGTTTCTAGGAAGTTGAGTACGTGACAGTCGTTGCAAGCTGCAGACCTTAAGTTGCGCGTAAAGGTAATCCTTTTTTAGGGGAAGCTCCATCTGGTTGAGATGTGCCTCATAAACGTAACTTTATCTAGCTTTACTCCCAGCTGTGGCTGTTGCTGGTACCTGTTAGATTTATAGTGAATCTTACTCCTTTTGCTTCATTATAGACCCCCTCAAAACTAAGGTGTCTGTAGCAGATCACTCATACAAAAGACTTAGTGTGTACGTAAAAGATTCTTGTATCTAAACAAATACTGTAGAGAATATAATATTGAAATTACCTTTGTAAATGGTATCCCATTTTGCATGGTATCGTACTGATGTTTTTCATCTCATCATACCCAAAGTAAAGGTTTCCAGTACCTTTAATTGTACCGTGGGCATGCTAGCATGGATATTCAGTTGGATTCCAGTAAATACTGTTCTGAGATCAAGCTCTCCAGTACAGCATCTTGTGGGGAACGTCCTGTGGTTCCTGTTCTGGCAGCTTCAGTGAATCCCTTAACATCTGTCTCTGCTCTCTCTCAAACTTTCTCTTCTAGGATTGGCAAAGAAAAATCTTGTCTCAGGAGCCTTTTGAGTAAGGTGCCTTGATGTCCTCTGTGTTAGCTGAATGCATCCCTGCCAGGCTTGGCCATGCAAGAGCACTCCTGCCTCCTGGTAAAGTGAGTTAAGTGACTGCTTATAGGAGAAACCAACCCTTCCTCCCTACAGAAATACTAATCCTCCACCTTGATCTAAGTTGCTCCCTTACTGAGAGAGGTAAACTTGGAGACATCGAGTGTTTGGTGTTTGACCCTAGAGGATTTGCAGCAGTTGAGTAGCTTTGAAAATTAGGTGAAGATGCATGTTGATCACCCAGTCTGTATCTCTCACAAATTCATGTATTTCTACTCTAATCATACTTTCTCCACTGTAATCATCTACTATTCTATATGTTAATGCGATCCATTACATGGCAATGGCTAGTTTAGAAGCGATCTACTTGTATTAGTTTTCAGGTCTATAGTAGGTTAATGCATTTGCTGTGCATGTCTGCTGTTTGGCTCTAGTTTAAAAAAAAAAAAGATATTTGTATACATGCAGAGGCATGCATGCACCCCTTTTGTGTTTTTCTGGGGGAAATTTCAGACTGCGTGCCTCTTAACACGTTGGTGCAGACATCTTCATTTTTTATTTTAATTGTAAATTCCCTGCTGGACTTATAAAACCATCTGCCAGAAAACAGACTTTGCATCTGGTTATCTGCTATTGAAATTCTAATTGGAGCTTCCATGCAACCTGCAGCCTTTGCCTTCTAAATTAAGTCTCCTGGCACAGACTTTTCAAAGGTGATGGAAATAATTTGCGGATGAAATTTCAAGCTTCAGTGATGAAAAATATCCATGCTGAAGGCCTGATAATGCATTTAAAAACCTCTGGCTACATAAACTGGATTACAGGGCATTATACCTTCTACCTTATAGAAAGTATATAGCCATTATACCTTAAAAGGGTTACCCTTTTAAATGTGGTAACTGACTTTTCAGGAGTGTGGGGCTGACTAAATTTTTAAGGGACAGTGTTGCAGGGACATTTAAGGAACGGAGGTGCTTGTGTTTTAAGCAATGTATGCTAGAAATGTCCAAGACTTTGCCTGAAGAAATGGAGAAGACTTGACTTGTTTGGGTGGTTTTTCTTGGACTTTTCTCCATGAAGCTTTAAGCATACAGTTTTGCTGACGTCCCGACGCCCTTTGACGCCAAGTAAAACCATGGTGTTCAACTGAGCACGTGTTCTGTATAGTATCGTCCAGGCTCAAAACAGTTTTGTAAATTGAAGGCTCCATAAAGCAGCTCCAGTAAAGATTTATGTCACAGTATTTACAGTGATAAATCATGGGAGAGCTGGACATGAGCAGAATGAACCTGCTACTCCACTGTGCGCTTGCAAACCAGAGCAGCAGGTGTATTCATCTGCTGCTTCATCCTGGTTGACGTGCATGTGCTGGGCTTGGAGCAGTGCTATGCTTATTGTTCAGAGCAATCACACGGGTGGATGGATGCCTTGCATGTGTATTTTCTCACAGCCCTAATATCCCTATGGTACTTCTGCCTTGCCTGCATGGGTGTGGTAAATAGCCATGCTCAACTCCTGCTCTGACGTGTAACTAAATCGGAGGCCTGCTCCTATAGCTGGACCCCACACGTGCGCATGTTCAGACACTGCTTGTGTCTGTTCCTCTTTAATTGTTACTTTACATTTGATACAAACTTCTAACAGCCCGAGCGATTATGCACTGGGGAAAGCTAGAGGAAAAAGTGATGAATTTGCTAGCGCTTGCGTGCAGATCCTCAGCTGGTGTAAATTGTTACAGCTCCCTTGTAGAGTAACGACAGTCTACCCCAGCTGAGTTTCTGCCCTTTGGAGTGTTTTAATCAAGATCTGATGTCTTTCTGAAAGAGGTGTTCATCCCTATTAACACACAGCTGGTGCAGAGTTCATTTATGTGGTAGGTGAGATATCTCCCCACCCTCTCCTCCCCCTTGTAATTGCTGGATGCAACTCCATGGCTTGTGCTGCTTAGGAAGCCAAGCTAGATGATATGCGTGGCTTTTTTTCCTCTTAAAAGTCTGTGACTCGAAACCATAAAAATGGGGTCAACGAGAGGTAATTCTATGGGAGAAAAATGGTTCACCACGATACGGATCGTCAGGAAAAAGCTACAATCTCCAAGAGGCTGAACTTGGCAGTTACTGTCCTCCCACCAGCCTGCCGTGGCGCAGGGGCAGGTATGCTTTCCCTTGCGGGCCTGAGAAGGGGCAGCGGCTCAGCAGCTGAAGGACTGGGAAGGCAGTATCCTCGCTGCATGTGCTGTTGCTGGATGCCATCTGTGTGCTCTAGCTTAGTGTGTTTGCTTCCCTTCCCAGCTCCCAGTCCATCCTGCAGGTGTAACCCTTTGTCACACCTGCTCTGCAAATAATACCCAGCCAGTCTGGATCTAGAATGCCCCTCAAAGGACTGTTGACCTTGTTGGCTGGAAAGCCAACAAAACCTCTAAAGTAAACTGTGATGTTCCTAGCCCTTTTTCCTTTAGAGCATATGGAGTTTGCAAGCACTTAAAATGCATTCGTTCCTTATGCAAATTCTGCTTCCTCGGACTGAAGTTATTGCTCCCTTTCTGTGAATCAGACTCACAGGAATTGGTGGAGTTTGACTGCTAGGGTATAAGGATGTTGCTGGATGTACAGGGATGGTAGTAAGGCTGCAAGTGATTGCAGGTTGAAGCTAGCTGTGTACTTTGGAAGCGTCAGTCCTGGTGCCTGCAGCTTTTGACTGCTGACAATCCACGAAGGTCACCATGCAGGTAAGGCCCCAGAGTGCCTTTGATAAATCCCTTTTCTGGATTAAAATGCTGCATCTGCATCTGGTGTGGTGCAGGGGTTCCTTCCCATAAGCACCCTTTGCATCAAAGTAAGGCTCTCGAGATGACTCTTTCTTGCTGGGAGTCATGAATTCACAAGCTCTGTTTTTGGCTGTGTCACCGGCTTGCTCTGCGGACTTTAGCCAGTCAGAATATGGTTTTCCAACAAATTTGCTGTGACTTGAGAAGTTTATGCATCTCTGCCTGCAGTCTTTTCAATGCTGCTGTTGGTGGCATGGGGGACTGTATCAGAAAAATGATCTAGCTTAAAAATACACCCCTCTTTTTTTTCCTTCTTCCAATTATGGCATGTTCCTGTGAACACTTAGTCCAGGCCCTGTCACCATAAGCAGGTGACAAGAACTGCAAAGTGTTTTAATGTTCAGTGAAACTGTGTTTCCATTCACTGCTATGTTGAGTGGAGCTAGCGCTAAACTGCTTGCTGTTGCGCTGCCTGGCTTCCTCATTACTTCAGTTCTTTAAGGTTATTCTTAGAAACTCTGCCCTTAGCTGATGGCATTGCTATGTTGCTATTGCAGTTATCACTGAAATGACATTTTCTCCAGTCAGTTTTGGATGCAAATCAGCATACTGCCAAAAGTACTGGTGGTCTTCTGTCACCTGTACTGGCTTTGTTTTTCTTTGTCATTGCTGGCTGTGCCTCAAAGATCGGATCATGCATTTCAGTGCTCAGAACCGGGGCTGTTGCTGCACTGGCACTGAGCTGATGCTTTCCAATGTCATCAATGTCATCTATCGGAAGGGGATCGCAATGCGCTGCTGTGCCGTAGCTCCTGCCACCTCGGCGATGACTGCGTTGCCATGGTGGGAGAAGCAGTCGCTGACTGCGCTTTGCATAATGCGCTATGCGTGGAATAAAAGGCAGTGTGAGAGACCGGCTTTTCAATTGTGTCCTTTCCTCCCGGTTCAAATGAAAACTTGTTGAGCGCTTGGAAAGCACATTGGGCGCTTTCTTCTTTATTAATTGTTCTAGTAGGACAATGTGGTATGAAGGAAGGAACAGGGCAGAGAGCCAGAAATATATGGATTCTTAGCTCAGTTCTCATACTGAAGCACCAAGCAAGCCAGGCTAGGGCGTTTCATCTTTTTGGCGAAGTGTACGTTTAACTTTTTCCCTGTAGATTGCCTCCCTCTGTACTATCCTAGCCAGGCAAGCAGCTGAGAAGCCTGTTCAGCGAAGCCTGACAATTGTTTTACACCCTTGTGATAGCTGGCTCCAAAGGGCGCTCTCCTGTCTGACTTGAGGAGTTGGCTGTAGCTTTTTGGCTAACTTGCAGCAGAGAAAATGAGGTGCAGGGGCAATGAGAAGAGAAGCTCGAGGAACAGTGACAGAAAATGCGGGTTTTATACTGCTGGATTTGAAGTCTTTGCCATTCCATGCCTCTGTTAGAGGGAAGATGGAGAAGAACCTGCCTCTCCTGTGCTAGAGGGACGGGCAGTCTGCAGCCTGCTGGCCCGTCCCTCATGTGCTGTTGGACTACAGGTCTTGCCACGTATCTTCTCATCACATCTGCCTGAGGAACCAGCTGGGGCTTGGATTTGATCCTCCATTTGAAAAGGAAGTTAGATCTAGGCAGCCAGTGCTAGTTGTAGTGGTGGGCCTGGTTTATCTCTGTGCCTTAATACAGCTCCTACCTTTGAGGAGTCTTAGCTGAGGCTGTGTCCTGTAAAGGACACCCAAGCTGTGCTCTGCTCTTAGCAGATGTGGCTGAGGAGGACCGTTACCTACCCTGGCTTGCTGCTGCTTGTGGCTGAATTTTAACTTTTTTTGCATCCAACTTCCTTTGATTTTGCAAGCGTTGAGTCCCTGTAGCTACTTTCTTTATTCCTTAACTTTACAGAGAGGGAAGCAGAGGTACGGCAGGCCCCGTGAGCTACGCATAGCGATGCAAGGCTGAGCCCTGCCACTGCTGTTCCTTCTTCCTTCCTCTCCCCCTGAACGGGAGAGACTATCCACCCCTGCCATGTACCTGATAACGTTTGCCTGCTTTAACTTGACTGAGATCAGGAACTATGTCTATGTATGCATACAAAGTTGGGCAGAGAGAGGCTACAGTCCTTCCGAGCCCTTTAGGTGTACTGCTGTGTAGTACAAGGTGTGACAGTGAGGATTCGCCTGGCTGGATAGATGGGAGACGCATCTGCAGCGATGGAGGAGGAGGGTGTTGGGGTTGCCTTCCCTGGCCTCCAGCTGACTCGGTGCCAGGCCTTGAGAACTGCTTATGCTTTTGAGCACGTACT